CATCGGCAGCACCGCTCAGCCCCAACAGGAACCACCAGCCCGTGAAATTCTCTGCATTCTTTGGCTTTTCTCCTGTTTGTTTCCCAAACGCGCTTAATAAACCAGCACTGGTCCTTGACGGCCTCTGCTTCCTTCCCTGGGCTCCATCCAATTCCTGCCCTGCTGGTGCTCCAAGCCCTGCACCGTGTGTGGCTGCCCACTGCTCGCTGGGTGCCGGGACAGGTTGTGGAAAAGAAAACCCCCTTGAGCATCCTCGGGACGAGGCCTCGGCCCCTCTGCCTGGCAGGCGATTGTGTGTGGCTGCCCACTGCTCGCCGGGCGCTGGGACAAGCTGTGGAAAAGAAAAACCCCTCGAGCATCCCTGGGACGAAGCCTCGGCCCCTCTGCCTGGCAGGCGATGCCGTATTGATCCCTGCAAGCCGGGATCCAGAGGGATCGGCCAGAGTAAAACCTTCTTCAATACCCAGGCATGAAGTCCTGCATTAACGAAGCAGCTGCAAACCCGCAAAAGCCAGCCTTAGAAATTACAGCTGCAATGCTCCGGCTGCAGCCCTCCGGCCGGAGCAGAGTTTTTCAGGCCCAGGGATGGAGCCGCAAGCAGTAGCTCAGCAAGTTGCACAGCCGGTCCCCGGCTTCAGGGGTTTTGCACTGGGAATTTCAACTGCTTTTGCTATCTGGTTCCTCCTGCCTGGATTGCCCTTGGGATCTCAGAGCGGGAATCGGCCTGAAATTCCCATCCCAACACCCAGCATCATCCCCTGGGGAGGGAGGTGGGCGCAGGGGTGTCCCAGCATGCGGCTAAACCAGCGCTAAGTGAGATCCTATGAATGAGGAGCACCAGTTGATGCGGAACGGAGCGGGAATGACGCTCTGCAGCATCCTAGATGCGGCACCAAGGAGCAACATCTTGTATCCCAAGGAGTGGGATGCGTTCGTGCATCAACTAGGCCAGTGCAGAGCACCATAAGCCGCAGCATCTGTCCCGTGTACTGCGGCAGGGTCTGATACAGCATGGCAGGGACGGAGACACCACGGTGGCATCTGATGCAGCACGAGAGAGGGAATCGGCCTGAAATTCCCACCCCAACACCCAGCATCATCCCTTGGGGAGGGAAGTGGGCACAGGGGTGTCCCAGCATGCGGCTAAGCCACCGCTAAGTGGGATCCTATGAATGAGGAGCACCCGTTGATGTGGAATGGAGCAGGCATGAGGCTCCGCAGCATCCTAGATGCGGCACCACGGAGCAACATCTTGTATCCCAAGGAGTGGGATGCGTTCGTGCATCAACTAGGCCAGTGCAGAGCACCGTAAGCCGCAGCATCTGTCCCGTGTACTGCGGCAGGGTCTGATACAGCATGGCAGGGACGGAGACACCACGGTGGCATCTGATGCAGCACAACGGGGTCTGATACACCATGGTGGGGTCTGATGCACCCTGAGGTGACTGGTTGCATTAGGGACATGGTTTAGCAGGCATAGAGTTGATAAGTTTATGGTTGAATTTTATGATCTTAAAGGTCTTTTCCAACTATAATGATTCTATGAAGGTGTCCGATGCACCCTGGTGGGGGCTGACACATCACAGCAGGGTCCGATGCACCGTGGTGGAGTCCAACACACCACAGAGGGGTCTAATGAACCCCGGAGGAGTTAAAGGCACCGCGGCGGGGTGCGATGCATCACGGCGCGGTCTGATGCACCTCGAAGGCTCCGATCCCGGTGCAGCAGCCGCAGGGAGCCGGGGCGGCCGCAGGGGGACGGGCAGCGGC